CTCACCATCAGCAGAACATCCCTCTGTCACAGAAAGAACACTCATAATCCACTGAGTCGTGTCCTTTAGTCCGACAGAAGCACCGCACCAGCAGTACAAGGAGCAAGCTGTTGTTTTCAGTACTTATAATTTATGTAAATTAGTCATGTGTTTTTAAGTTTCGTATCTGTAAAACGTAAACAAATGTGCGCAAACGGTCTAGTGTCAAATCTTTGGTGCAGGACTCTGGTATGATGTAAGTTTCTGTGAAGTTTGCAAATGTTCATGCACACTTGAACTTGATTTGAAAAAAATCGTGGTTGAAATCCAAAAAAATCCCAATTAATTTTTTTCTTAAAATCGTTCAGCTCTATTTCAGAGTTTAACAAAATACGTTGCTGTTGTTCTGAATCATTTTATTTAAAATCTTGACCTAAAATACTCGCTTACATTTTTGTATCGCGCTTTTCCACCTTCAAGGTAACCAGTCACCCATTCACACACACATTCCTACACCAGCGTACACAAACACTGCTGGGGTAATAAGGTGGGTTAAGTGTCTTGCCCAAGAACACAACAACAGTATTCATCTGTGGGAGCTGTAATCGAAACTGTAATCGAACCTAAAGAACCTGTGAGTCAGTCAGATCAGAGGACAAAACGCTCTACCAATTCAGACACTGTTGCCCCTGTTGCTTACTTCACTTTACACGATATTGAAGTATCTGATATTAGCGCCCCCTAGAGACAACTTGGAAACGCCCTGTCCAAACCTCCACATTACAGCAAATTCTTTTTGTCATATATATTTAATTTTTTTCCTATATTGTGGTCTTACGGCCACACAATAATGCCACAAGATGTATGAATATACAAATGCCACATTTAAACCTCCTCCTCCCCATTCCCAAACCCCAATTCGCCCTCCCCACACCCACCCTTAACAGACACAAAAAAAAAAAAAGAAGAAGAAATAAAATTAAGGGAAAAAAATCTATAATAATAATAAACATTTAAAAAATAAATAAATAAAAACAATAAAATAAAAATACAATAGTAATAGTAATATTGACCAGAAAAAATAATAATAAATAAATAAATAAATAAAATAACAATAATTACATTAATAATGATGCAAACGAAATGTGCATATATACATATAAATGCACACACTCAAGCACACACCCATAACAAATGCATAAAAAAAAAATAAAATAAAAATTACATATTTAAATATATGTGTACAGGTGTCCATATTTTCCAGAACATATCTTGTTTGCAATTTCATTCATAAGTCAGTTTTTCCAGAGGAATGGTTGATGATAACTGAGTGAACCATAAGTCCAGTGTAGGTAAGTGCAGGGTTGCCCACTTCAAAAGAACACATTTTCTTGCCAAAGACATCATAATCATTAACACAGACTGGGTAATATTATCAAAAAGTTTATCAGGACAAAGATTTAACAGATACAATGATGGTGACATGACAAAAGTTTTTCTCGTAATCTGTTGGGTAACAGCAAATGGCTCAGCAAATTCAGTGTCGAACAACTCTGCTCCCAATCCCCCTAGGCCTACCACCAGACCTCTCAAGCTTCAAGATAAGACCTGTATATTTACTACACGATCACTATCTCCACCATTAAACCCACTTATCGCCACATCTAGCCGTTCTTTCGCTTGTTTTGCTTGTTCTCAGCTCTCCGCCGGGGCTGATAGAGGTCACCAAGCCACTAGGGGGAACCGAAGAGGAAACAAGGCGGAGAAAAGAGCGAGAGAAATCCAGAGAAGAAAGGAGATATTTCTTCATTGTGCGATTGGTGAGCGATGACAGGTTTGGTGTGAAAAACAGAGCGAGGAGTATTATGACAAATGAAGGCGAGCAAAGGTGCAAATAAACCGGTAAAATGTGTAGGAGAGGACAGCTAACCTTTCACAGTAAATGTATATAAATGAGAGCCTATCCTTCTCCTATACAGACGGTTTTAGGGTTGCAACAGTATTTGAATGGATGGCACTTCATGTTAAAATGTCCCATGTGAGGATGTTTTACTATTACTCTAAAAATGGCAACAGCGAATGTAAGATTTTCCCATTGCTTGTCTTTGAATTATAAATAAAGTGATCGAGATTGCACAGTGATAGTTCTTAGGATGGATTTTTATAAATCTTGGTTAAAAATTTATCCTTAGAACACCTTGGAAATGTTAATTGTATCCAGCAGAGGTGGGACCAAGTCATTGTTTTGCAAGTCTCAAGTAAGTCTCAAGTCTTTGACCTCAAATCCGAGTCAAGTCCCAAGTCAAATACAGGCAAGTCCAAGTCCAGTCTCGAGTGACTGGGCCATAAGTCCAAGTCAAGTCCAAATCGTCTGTTTTGAGCTTCAAATCATTTCAAGTCTTTAAACCTTTATGATTTTTAAAATAAATGGTACTTAAAAAGTCATAGTATATTTATATATGAGTATTTATAGAGTATATAAGAGTTGTAGAAATACAAATTTTACCTTTTTAAATGTCTTGACATGATCTTAGTGTGACTCATTACAGTCAGAATAGAACAAATTCAGATTTAAAAGTGCTTCTCAAGTCTTCTCAAGTCAATGACCTTCAAGTCCAAGTCGAGTCCAAAGTCTTAGTCCATTTTATCAAGTCAAGTCTCAAGTCCTAAAAATAAATAGTGACTCAAGTCTGACTGAAATCCAAGTCACGACTTGTAAGTAAATAAGTAAAGTAAATACACAGATACTGATTAATAGTAAAACATAAAATCAGAACTAGAACTTTTTTCAGAAAGTATAATCTAAATCTATACAAGTATAATTTTATTTTATTTTTTGTAGAATCGGAATGTACTAGTAATTTTTTGGTAACTTTAGAGCAAAGTGGAGAATTTTCTGGTCAAAAACTGTGTGTGTGCTGCCTCCAGTGGCGTCTTGAATGGAAATTTCCAGTACTATATGACATCACACATGACTCTCCTGATCACAGCCAGGTGATTGTATCAGAAACAATCTGCAGTGGTGGAGTTTGACATTTGTTAGACCAATCACACTGCTCCTTATACCTCCAGACTCCTCCCCCTTCACTCTCCCCACTCTTCTCCAGGTTTAGCAGTTCTATTTGAAATGCGATTGTTGGTGGAGTTTAGGTGTTTAGTTCCACTTTAAAGTAGTTTCATGGCTAAACATGTTCTCAGTTACAAATTGAAGTAGTTGCTGCCAAATTTGTATTTAGTTGAACCAGATCTTTGGCATTTTTGCCCTAACAACATGAACTTGGCACTACACGCACTCGTACCATTAGGACGACACCCTCTGAATTTGAGATCAGTTGGATGAGTGGTTCGAGAGTTATGCGTGGAACAGACAAACAAACCAACAGGAGGAGACACAGACAGACGTTCCTTGCATTAATAGATAGTGGTGTGCAAAAATACTGAAATATCCATATATCGTATCTTTTAATGTGATGATACAGTATTGATATCATGGACTGCTGTATCAATTATTTTGTTACAGTGCTACAGTTTTATTGCTCGGTTAGTGGAAGAAAACCTGATTATGCGACACATTTGACATTTTCACAGTTTTGAGGATTAAAATGTTTGTGTTTCATATTGACTCTGCTAAAGAAGTGGTTTAACAAAGACTTTTAGTATCACAGTCAAGATTTAGCCTTCATTTTTTTATTGAGCTGTATCGAATCAATTGGAAATATCATCACATCGAATCTACAGCTCACTGTATCGAGGTATGTATCGTGGCCTATGTATCGAGGTATGTATCATATCGTGGCCTATGTATCATGGTATGTATCGTATCGTGGCCTATGTATCGTGGTATGTATCGTATCGTGGCTTATGTATCGAGGTATGTATTGTATCGTGGCCTATGTATCGAGGTATGTATCGTATCGTGGCCTAGTATGTATCGAGGTATGTATCGTATCGTGGCCTATGTATCGAGGTATGTATAGTATTATGGCCTATGTATCGAGGTATGTATTGTATCGTGGCCTATGTATCGAGGTATGTATAGTATCGTAGCCTATGTATCGAGGTATGTATTGTATCGTGGCCTATGTATCGAGGTATGTATAGTATCGTGGCCTATGTATCGAGGTATGTATCGTATCGTGGCCTATGTATCGAGGTATGTATCGTATCGTGGCCTATGTATCGAGGTATGTATCGTATCGTGGCCTATGTATCGTGGTATGTATCGTATCGTGGCCTATGTATCGAGGTATGTATCGTGGCCTATGTATCGAGGTATGTATCGTATCGTGGCCTATGTATCGAGGTATGTATCGTATCGTGGCCTATGTATCGAGGTATGTATATGGCCTATGTATCGAGGTATGTATCGTATCGTGGCCTATGTATCGAGGTATGTATCGTATCGTGGCTATGTATCGAGGTATGTATCGTGGCCTATGTATCGAGGTATGTATTGTGGCCTATGTATCAAGGTATGTATCGTATCGTGGCTATGTATCGAGGTACGTATCGTATCGTGGCCTATGTATCAAGGTATGTATCGTATCGTGGCCTATGTATCGAGGTACGTATCGTATCGTGGCCTATGTATCGGTATGTATCGTATCGTGGCCTATGTATCGAGGTATGTATCATATCGTGGCCTATGTATCGAGGTATGTATCATATCGTGGCCTATGTATCGAGGTATGTATCATGGCCTATGTATCGAGGTATGTATCGTAGCCTATGTATCGAGGTATGTATCGTATCAGCAGCTTCTTAATGATACCCAGCTGTATTACTAGATAGATTTTAAGTATCAATATAATACCACCGCCGAGTGTGGAGTGAATGAATAATGCACTGTAAAGCATTTTGGGTGTCACAAAAGGCGCTCTATAAATGCAACGATTAATTCATGAATTAATAACCTTCCACCTAAATCATTGTTGCCAAATGCTACAAAAACCCTCTTACCCTCTCACTCTAAATTTCCTTCTGATTCACATTGCTGCATTTAGCCGTTAGATGCGTCTTACCTGTACTCCAGTGAAAAGCGCGTGAGCTCCGTGTTGTTGTGGATCCATTTGAACTCCAGAGGCCAGCTGCCCTCCGCCATACAGGTGAGCACCAGCCTGTTACGCTCCAGGTGCAGCTGACTCCGCGCCGGCTCCGTCTTAAAGTAGGGGGGCACATCATCTGCAAGAAAGAGAAGAAGAAATTGCAAGTTAAAATTTAATCTAAACATGACAAATATTGCAACCAGATGCATTTGTTTTGGTCAGTAACATTTCAGTCGGAGGGTCTGTCACTTTCTTGTCTCCATGGAGACGCTGGAGCTTGATATGTTCAGCTTTATAGAGACAGGAAGGTAACATCACTGGGCTAAGTTATAGATCAGATCGGTGGAGAGGCAAAATCCGTGTATAATTCGTTCATTCGTTTTTCAATATAAAACCAAAAATAAGAAAACGAAAAAAACAACCGTTTTCTTCATTATTTGTCTCCAAAACCAAAATGACGTAACATATAACAATTCGTTTTTTCAGTTTTCGATTTTGTATTTAAATGAAGAATGGAAAAAACGGATAACAGCTGTTTACCGTTTACGTGACTTCCGTGACTGCGATGCCGTACTTTTGGGCTGCATATGGACTGAACCAGGACTGATCCAGGTCCGGGACCAGAGCGGGACTGAGACCAGGACCAAACCGGGACCAGAGCAGGACTGAGACCAGGACCAAACCGGGACCAGAGCAGGACTGAGACCGAGACCAGACTGGGACCAGAGCGAGACTGAGATCAGAAGTGAAACCGTTACCAGGTCGGGACCAGATCGGGACTACAGCAGGACCAGACCGAGACTGAGACCGGGACTCGGTCCTGCCGCTCTGGTCCCGCTCTGGTCCCGCTCTGGTCCCAGACTTGGATCAGTCCTGGTTCAGTCCGTATGCAGCGCAAAAGTCCGGCATCGCAGTTACAGGACAAGTCATGTAAACACAAAATTGAAAACTGAAAAAACTAATCGTCATCCGTTTTTTCATTTTGGTTTTGAAGACAAATAACGAAGAAAACAGTGTTTTTTTCATTTTCTTATTTTTGGTTTTATATTGAAAAACGGAAGAATGAATGATACACGTAATAGACAAGCTCATAGTGAGAATGCAAGATTTTCAAGGAATTTTGAGCAGAAAAAATGAATATGTGGGAAAATGGATCATGTTAATGCCATACTAAGGAACATTCAAGGCATCAACTCTCCAATAACATCTCCAACAATGTAGCAGACTCTTCAACCAGAAGAAAAGTTACATAATTCACCTTTAAATCAAACTTATATTGAGAAACCAGATCAATTTCAGACTTTTTTGTGTTAGAAAACGCTTTACTTTGTCAAACTTCGCCAACACAGATGTCAAGAACAAGAGATGAAGAGCAAAATATCTGCTTTATGCTTCTTCATCATGGACTGTATACACAACCAGACACATGGATCCATTCAAGACTACGTAGACTCTTGTGCTGGCCTATTACTAATAAAGCAAACAAGTCAAGCTCTATTGAAAAGCTCAGAAGGATAAGAAGTAAGATGGACTGGCCTTGGATACGGAGTCGGTGTCTTTCTCTATAGCACAACTTTGACAGAGGAGACAGGAAGGAGGAAAAGAAAAGCATAAAATCCATTCTTCATTGTACCTCCTACACACTGCTACGCTACATCTCTCGCTCAAGGCTCGGGTGATGACGAGAACGACCAAGCAAATGTACCAAGCAAGCCATAATATTATAACAAGGTGGAGTGGGTTATAAGGGGAACATAAGTAAAGACTTTAAACATAAAAGGGTTATAGCAAGTAGGAAACTGTAGTATTTATGGGGTTTTCCAAGTCTACACTCGACAATATTGATCGAATGTACTTCAATAAGGTTGTAATAGCTGCAGATAGCAAGACTGTGTGTGTACTCAAAAGCAAAGATTATAAACATGAATACTTTAAGGTTGAATTGTGATCACGATTTCGATTTGAAACTAAAGTTTGACAAAGTTTATTTTAGTATATTTTGGTTATACTGATTTTTTTTTTTTTTTCTATACTGTATTTCATGTTCAAAGTGTATTTTATTCATTTTATGTTTTATACATTGCAAAACTAAAACAGAAGCCGAGAGGGGTCACAACAAACGCAAACGCCGCAACAAATACAAATGCGGCAACACAACAAAAAGCCACAACACACCAAAAAAAGCCACAATGGAAATGACCGCGGGACTCTATTTTAATGCAAACGCCGCAACAAATACAAACGCCACAAAACAAATACAAATGCCACAACACAAACGCAAATGCCGCAACACATTAAAAAGCCACAACACACCAAAAAAAAGCCACAACGGAAATGACCGCAGGGCTCTATTTTAATGCAAACGCTGCAAAAAATACAAATGTGACAACACAACAAAAAGCCACAACAAACCAAAAAAGTCACAACGGAAATGACAGCAGGACTCTATTTTAATGCAAACGCCACAACAAATACAAAAGCCACAACACAAACACAAAAGCCACAGCACATCAAAAAGCCACAATGGAAGTGACCGCGGGATTCTATTTTCTGACGGACCGATCAAGCGGCAAGTGAAGAAGAAGAACTACAACGTGAAAAGTAAAGGAGAAGTTGGAAACGTAAGTAAAAGTAATTTATTGTTTTATCATTGTATGTGTTGTCGCATTTGTATTTGTTGCGGCGTTTGCGTTTGTTGTGACCCCTCTCGGCTTCCGTACAAAACTGTTCTATGGTACATATTTGTAGCCTATATTTATTTTCAATTGAAAGGTTTTGCATAAATTATCAATAACAAAGTGTTTTTTGAGAGAGATAAAGGCTGAATAAATGCATCGGGTAACAAAAAAATATAATTATTTGAATAATCGCGACTTCAATATTAACAAAAATAATTGTGATAATGATTTTTTCCATAATCAAGCAGCCCAACTTTAAAGGTGCACTCTGTAACTTTTCTAAAAATGCACTGGGTGTCTTGAAAGGCGCTGTATAAATGCAATAATAAATTAACTAAAAAACAATAATTTTCTGCCACCTGTCCTGCTTGTCTCAATGGATATGTTATTACTGAAGCCACCAGGCCTAGTTACTGGTCAGATCGGTGGAGAGGCGAGTCCACTGACCACCACGGCTGGGTGTCACTAAGAAGTTGTCGATACGATATATAGACTACGATACAATTTGCTTTCGATTCAATATGATTGGTTATGATATATTTCACATCGATTCGATATGGTTCAGTGGAAAAAAAAGGTTAAATCATTGCTGTGAAACCAAAAGTTTACTAAGTCCACCAAGTTTGTGCAAAGTTAATTTGAAAAACACCAATTTTACTCATCAAAACAGTGAAAATATCAACACTTTTGTAGCTCTTAGACAAAATAATTTTGTTAAATATACCAAAAATTACTCTTGGTGCTATATATCGATTCAGCAGCCCACGATATCGATATTGTATCATCAAATTAAATGACAGAATATATCGATATATCAGTATTTTTGCACACCCAACTGACCACACTAAATTTTGAGTTTTATTTGAATTTCTTTAAGCAATAAAAATATTCAGAATTAAATAAATGCAAGATACGTTTATTGCCAACTTTTCTGGTGGCAATTGTCTCCATGGATATTTTATTGCTTTGCCTGGAATGTTCCTTAGTGCGACATTGAACTTATCCGTTTCCATGGCAACAAACGGGCGAGGTGACTGGTCAGATCTGTGGAGCGTAATGAGCTAGATAAATTAATACCATACTTTTTCAGCTGTAGTTTCCCCAAATACTTCTTAATTCTAAGTTGAGTGATTTCTATAACCATCATTATTTTACTTCTATAGTCTTATAGTAACAAAACTTTTACTTGTGTAACATTTTTGGCTACTCTGCCCACCAACACCAATAAGTCACATCACCATTAACCATCACAGCACGATCAATTAATCAATGAATCAGTCATTAACAGGCGGGTGGTCGTAACGTTCTGGCTGATTACATTATAACACACCTTTTGTCCCTCTGTCTCCAACTGTCAGGGCGCTTTGAGGTGCTAATATCTCAACATTGATGGAGGAGTGAGGAAAGTGAAAAGGCCCTTCTGGATGCTCATTGTAAATATAGCACACATTAATTGGATGGTTGGTTAATATAATTATCAGATTGGATGATAATCAGCAGTTGGAATTAAACTGTCAAAATGATCTATAGCTGTGATATTTGGCTCTTCTAACACAGATCTAGCTTTGGTGGAGCTTTGAAGTGCGTGCGAGAAGAGCAGCGTGGATGGAGGTAAAGGAAGTGCACACCTACATGGAAATAAAAGTTAGACAGAAGAGAAGAGAAGAGTTCAAAAATCAGCGGTGGACAATACATGCTTTTATCTTCCATCATCTTGAACAGATAACTTCATAAAATATTTGGATCCTTACATCTTTCTCAACCACATTATATCCACGGAAATTAGACAAAGACTGACTTAAATCCACTTTTTACTCTTCTCTTTTAAAGGTGCATTGTGTAACTTTTCTGATGGTGGGTCCGTCAAATGTTTTAAACCATGGACATGTTACTGCTTTGTCTGAGAGGTTTCACAGTATGGCATTTAGGGATGGGCATTCGATTAAATTTTCTTAATCGATCGTCGGGAGAATTAACGATCGATTATCGATTAATCATTAATGTTTTTTTATATTAAAATTATCATCATTATAATTACTATCTGCACTACTAATCTGCATAAATAAATTCAACTTTATGACATATAAACCGTAACCACTCTAGAGCCACATCAGCCCATTAATGTAGTTTTGCGCGAGTTGAAACTAAACTTAAAACCGCATGGCTAATTTGCATAAACTAAGTGAAGAAAAAAACTGCTCATGCACTGATGCGGTTCAACTTCTGTCGGATTAAAAGACATGACTCAGTGGAATACAGGTTAGTGTGACCATATTTGCGTTTGTCAAAACTAGGACACCGTACGGGGGTTGGGAGGTGGAGATTCGTCATCGACATTGAGCTACTCTCACCTGGAAAAGCTTTTTCATGTTTTCGGT